AGCCTGAATTACTCCAGAGACCACAGTCCTAGCTCTACTTTGGGTCTGTCGGGATGGCTCTCCTGAATGAAAAATGGCTTGTGCAGACATGGTGACATGCTGCATTTATTATCATCACATCCTTCGAAGTGAATCTGAAGCCAGCTGCTGCTTCCTTTTGCAGTCATTGGAGTTGAGTGCCAATGAAGAAATTCGAAGACCAGCAGAACAAAAGTCACACTTGTTGCCTGGAAGAGAAATATACATTTGTTTGTAAGCAGCCTGCAGGTAATAAAGCCATTAAAGTGAAAGCAGCCCATTGGCAGGATGGGTATCAGTCGAAAAGAGAAGAGGGTATCACCTCCAAGAGGTAAGAAAATGGAGAAGACTCCCTGGGGAAGTTAAAATCATGATAATCATAAACAGAACTGATGTCAGAAATGTAGAAGGAGAAAAGAAATGTTAGGGACCGGCTTCCTGCACCCCGCCAGGCAGACGAACAAAGACACCAAGGATGCAATCACTCAAGAGGAGCTTTATTTTCTGGCTAGCCAGGGTCCAGGCCCTAGAGTGCCAGCGCAGTGGCCGCTCTTACAGGCAAGGACCCTGACCAAAGCTGGGGCTCCCCGTTTATCCCCCCTCCCTCTTGAACACCCGTGCTGCACAAGCTGATTGTGCGTGTTAGTCTTTAAAATGATAGGTGGACTGGTAGCCCGCCGGCGGCAAAGGGGGCTTTCTCCCTTATCTGGCACTGTACCTATGCGTCAGAAGCAGAAATATGCGTTTAGCCGATAGCTCTACCTTTGGGCCCCAAGCTAGCAGTTTTCAGAAGCCCATTACTCCTCCCCTGGGCCAATTTTCTGTTATCCGGGCTCGCACAAGTGAGCCAGCAGCTTTGGGCTGCAACCAGGCCCTTACAGAAAGTGAATAGAATCACAGAAGTTAGGAATTTTGGAAGTGCTATGGTTATCAAAACTGCAAAGGGGTTTTCGGCCTAGCCCACTCACTGCACAAAGATCTAATTATTAAGACAGTAAGGATTGCCAAGGAAGAAAGGAATTTTTTTAATATGAAAGACATCTTTTCAGGAGAACAGGAGAAGCTGCCTCAGATCTGTCTTTCCAACTAACAGAGAACTAGGGCTTTCTATGGAAATGTCACCTGCCTTGGGGCAGGTTGAGGGGGATTGGTGAGCCCCAGCTTCAGGAAATCTGCTCAGGGCCCTTCAGAATCTCAGCTCCTTTGTCTTGCAGGAAATCCACCTTTCCTGGGAAACAACTCAAAAGGTCAAGTAGTTAGTTAAAGGAGAAGATTATAGAAAGCTTATTGGGGTCATTGAAATTTGTTCATGAAGCTAGTTACAGTATTATGGAAATGTTATTTATTTGTGTGTGTGAAGTGCCGGGTGAGATCACCTTCTGAGAATGATAAGAGAGGTGGCAGAGGTAGAGATATGACAATAATATAGAAGTTTAGCGTGGTGATTATAGGAAAACATGTTAACTAAGGAAGCGTCAAGAATTTCAAGTCAATGCTAAGGTACAGTCTAGGGTTGTCTGACTTTTCCGGTTTCCCTTGCCAGGTACCTATGTCGTTGGAACAATGAGGCAAGGAATGTGATAAACAGTATCAACTATTAATATTAATTGCAGAATCTATCTTTTACAGGAAAAAATTGAAGTTAACAGAGGATTGATAGAAAATGGAGTATTAGTCTTGAGGAGAAAAAACGCCTGTTAGACGCACTTGATGAGCAAAAGCACCACTTTGACCTTCCTTTGCAAATAATATTCACAAAAAAATATCTGGGTAGACTAAAAAATAGGAAATGAAAAGACTTCAGTTCCCAGTATGGAAAGACTTCACATTAAAAAATAACACAAATGAAAGATTTTACAAGTTCAAACAGAAAATGATCTGGAAAGAACTTTTTCCAACGCTATTATGAAGATATTTTCTTTCAAATTATCTGTCTGTGGTTAGTGGAAAATGATTTTGACTTTGGGCATACAAGAACTCCTTGGTGGACATGAATTTCAAAGTTTTTTCTTGTTCAAAGAAGTTGCCTGGTTCCATTAGCAAAACCTAACAAGTTCAAAAAAGATCGATGATTTTTATCCTTCACTATTACTAATTCCATTTGCTTAGTAAAATATGATGTAAAATTAATGTTCAAAACTTTTCTCCAGTATGATATGGTTTCCTAAGTTTAAATGGACTGTGGCTCTTATCTTTACAGTCCTGACATTAATTGCAATAGCAATTTTGTATAAATGCACACAAAGTAGGAGTTTCTCAAATATGTTCAGTAGTTTCATTCCTACCATATAAAATAAAGTGCCCATTTTACATAGGGCAAATTTACATTAAAAAGTAATTGAAGGGCCACTCACATATGAATATATTTCTCTCTCAAAAAGTTTTCAAGAGATGAAATGTCATTTGGAAGATTGAAATGGAAATGCTTAACCCTTGTGAACACATTTTATAATCTAACATTCTTTTTTTTTTAAGCTTTCAGACAATAATACATCATTCAAACATCTATTTCCACAGACATGCAGGAAATCTAATTACATTAGATCATAATTGAATGAGAATGTAGATACAGAGAGTGAGAACGTTTTTGTGGCCCTCTTTGTGCTCTAGAATACTTTTGAACCTAGGAGTCATTCCTTAAAAGGGCAAAAATTGAGAAAAAGTTCAGGTACATATGCATGCTGTAAATTTTTGATGCAGCAGATTCGATAAACTGTCCTCATTTTGGTAGTGTTTGCATTGCTATTTTCTATTTTGAGTTATTTGTTATCTGGATATTACTGAAGGGGAGGGGGTCATGGAAAATAAGGATATATGTGGGAAAATTAGGACATAGATAAATTATACACATGGGACATAAAGTCATCTACATGAAATGTTGAATGCGTGTTCCCCTTAATTATAGAAAATGGGTTGTTCCTAAGTGTATGTCCTCAGTTAGATTTTCCAAGAAGACCTAGGGGTTTATTTAGTAGGTGATCGATCCCAGGAAGGTAAAGGCATAAATAAAGGGAGGCTTAGCAAGGCGGTTACCACGCTGAGCCACTGAAACTCAACAACACTGGCAAGTCTGGGAAACAGGAGAGGCCGTGCCTTGGAGTGATCCTTCATGAGTGACGAGGAAACTGGGTTTTGTATCCACCAGGTCCCCATCTTTCTTTCATTGAGGGCCATTTCTAGAATTAAATCTCTCTTATTTATAGTTCACTTCGTGTGTAGGCCCAGGATGATCCCTCAGCCAGGAAAAAAAAAGTCTTCTGCTGGTGGCAGGTGTTTTCGATGGAGCATGCGCATTAAAAATAAATGCTGAAGGGCGGGGCGGGACACCTACAGCGTGGCCTGCAGCCCACCCTCCTACTGCCTGGGTCTATCCATCTCCCACGTGAAGTTCAAGGAGATGCTACCAGAAAACATCCACGTGAGAGAAACTCAACTATCACAAATCATATAAGAGCAGAGTGCGACCCTATATTTTGATTTTGGTGTTGGTTGCCTATGTATTATATTTTGTGATTTAACTTATTGTTATGACTAAAATTCTTTTTATTCTTATTACCTGAGCATATATACTAAAGAAATATGTTCTATCTCGCTGGTATGTGGAGCTGAGAGTTGGGAGTGGCTTATTTATAAAATTATAGATCTCTAGAACCAATTACTCTTTATGGAAACCTGCTTACCCAGTCACTTTCCTTTCCTTTACCCAAAAGAGGAATTAGTAAGACCTGTTAGGTTTCTTTGGACTTATATACTGTAGACTGTGAAAAGGAACAATTCTGTTTGTTAGGTTTAATTCTTTTAAATTAATGTGACTAGCTTTTGTTTGATAAAACATAGAAGTTGATAGTTGGAAAGTATAAATATTTTTTGAGCTTCAGTATAGTTGGAATTGTCTTACCCATAGGAAAATAAACCCCCAGATAAAGTGTAATATTCAGTCTTTTTAATTATTAATGGATTATCTCATGGCAGTGCATAAATAATGTCCTTAGCTCCTTGAATCACAGATTTTCATAAGTCTTTCCAGACTGAGGGCTAGTATATTTTTTGCAAAGTTTTAGAGTGGTGAATTTTCATTATAAGATGTTAATGGTTAATTATAACTAAAAATATGAAGGTTTCTACATATCTAAAACTCCTGAATACCTAACATATATACATTTGTGTGTGTGTGTGTGTGTCTATTCTGTGCATTATGGGGCTTCCTACAAAATAAAAGTACAACTTTCTCATTTAAAGTCATTTGTATCATATACTCAAAGTGACCTACAGAGTCAACGCAATCCGTATCAAAATACCATCATCATTTTTCACAGATATAGAAAAAATAATTTTATACTTCGTATGGAACCAGAGAAGACCCCGTATAGCAAAGTCAATCCTAGGCAATAAAAACAAAATAGAAGTGCATTTGAGTGTGTGTCTGCATATAAAAATAAGCATTTATGGTTATAAAATATAAATTGTATGATAATGATGATTTTTATGAGCTGTAGGAATATGAATTGAGGAAGGCATCAGAAAAAGCTACAAATGAGGTGACATTTCAGATGGACCTTGAAGAAATGATTCAGCATATCTAGAAAAAATAGGGAAAAGTTCATTTTAGGTAGCACAGAATAATAATTCCAGCAATACCAGTTGTTCACTTACCAGAGACTCTTCTACAGGACTTTATTTCAGTCCTCAGAAAAACTCTCTGACCTGAAGTAGGATTGTTATCTGTATGTTGTAAATGAAGGAACTGAGAGTAAAGCCCACAGGGCACACAGCTGGTAGACTGAGCCAGGCAGAGAATTAGCCAGAATTACTCCAGAGACCACAGTCCTAGCTCTACTTTGGGTCTGTCGGGATGGCTCTCCTGAATGAAAAATGGCTTGTGCAGACATGGTGACATGCTGCATTTATTATCATCACATCCTTCGAAGTGAATCTGAAGCCAGCTGCTGCTTCCTTTTGCAGTCATTGGAGTTGAGTGCCAATGAAGAAATTCGAAGACCAGCAGAACAAAAGTCACACTTGTTGCCTGGAAGAGAAATATACATTTGTTTGTAAGCAGCCTGCAGGTAATAAAGCCATTAAAGTGAAAGCAGCCCATTGGCAGGATGGGTATCAGTCGAAAAGAGAAGAGGGTATCACCTCCAAGAGGTAAGAAAATGGAGAAGACTCCCTGGGGAAGTTAAAATCATGATAATCATAAACAGAACTGATGTCAGAAATGTAGAAGGAGAAAAGAAATGTTAGGGACCGGCTTCCTGCACCCCGCCAGGCAGACGAACAAAGACACCAAGGATGCAATCACTCAAGAGGAGCTTTATTTTCTGGCTAGCCAGGGTCCAGGCCCTAGAGTGCCAGCGCAGTGGCCGCTCTTACAGGCAAGGACCCTGACCAAAGCTGGGGCTCCCCGTTTATCCCCCCTCCCTCTTGAACACCCGCGCTGCACAAGCTGATTGTGCGTGTTAGTCTTTAAAATGATAGGTGGACTGGTAGCCCGCCGGCGGCAAAGGGGGCTTTCTCCCTTATCTGGCACTGTACCTATGCGTCTAGCTGCAAGCAAGCGATTCTCAGAAGCAGAAATATGCGTTTAGCCGATAGCTCTACCTTTGGGCCCCAAGCTAGCAGTTTTCAGAAGCCCATTACTCCTCCCCTGGGCCAATTTTCTGTTATCCGGGCTCGCACAAGTGAGCCAGCAGCTTTGGGCTGCAACCAGGCCCTTACAGAAAGTGAATAGAATCACAGAAGTTAGGAATTTTGGAAGTGCTATGGTTATCAAAACTGCAAAGGGGTTTTCGGCCTAGCCCACTCACTGCACAAAGATCTAATTATTAAGACAGTAAGGATTGCCAAGGAAGAAAGGAATTTTTTTAATATGAAAGACATCTTTTCAGGAGAACAGGAGAAGCTGCCTCAGATCTGTCTTTCCAACTAACAGAGAACTAGGGCTTTCTATGGAAATGTGACCTGCCTTGGGGCAGGTTGAGGGGGATTGGTGAGCCCCAGCTTCAGGAAATCTGCTCAGGGCCTTTCAGAATCTCAGCTCCTTTGTCTTGCAGAAAATCCACCTTTCCTGGGAAACAACTCAAAAGGTCAAGTAGTTAGTTAAGGGAGAAGATTATAGAAAGCTTATTGGGGTCATTGAAATTTGTTCATGAAGCTAGTTACACTATTATGGAAATGTTATTTATTTGTGTGTGTGAAGTGCCGGGTGAGATCACCTTCTGAGAATGATAAGAGAGGTGGCAGAGGTAGAGATATGACAATAATATAGAAGTTTAGTGTGGTGATTATAGGAAAACATGTTAACTAAGGAAGCGTCAAGAATTTCAAGTCAATGCTAAGGTACAGTCTAGGGTTGTCTGACTTTTCCGGTTTCTCTTGCCAGGTACCTATGTCGTTGGAACAATGAGGCAAGGAATGTGATAAACAGTATCAACTATTAATATTAATTGCAGAATCTATCTTTTACAGGAAAAAATTGAAGTTAACAGAGGATTGATAGAAAATGGAGTATTAGTCTTGAGGAGAAAAAACGCCTGTTAGACGCACTTGATGAGCAAAAGCACCACTTTGACCTTCCTTTGCAAATAATATTCACAAAAAAATATCTGGGTAGACTAAAAAATAGGAAATGAAAAGACTTCAGTTCCCAGTATGGAAAGACTTCACATTAAAAAATAACACAAATGAAAGATTTTACAAGTTCAAACAGAAAATGATCTGGAAAGAACTTTTTCCAACGCTATTATGAAGATATTTTCTTTCAAATTATCTGTCTGTGGTTAGTGGAAAATGATTTTGACTTTGGGCATACAAGAACTCCTTGGTGGACATGAATTTCAAAGTTCTTTCTTGTTCAAAGAAGTTGCCTGGTTCCATTAGCAAAACCTAACAAGTTCAAAAAAGATCGATGATTTTTATCCTTCACTATTACTAATTCCATTTGCTTAGTAAAATATGATGTAAAATTAATGTTCAAAACTTTTCTCCAGTGGTATGTATGAAATTTATCAGGACTTCATTTCCAGTTGCTGGTCAAGCTGATATGGTTTCCTAAGTTTAAATGGACTGTGGCTCTTATCTTTACAGTCCTGACATTAATTGCAATAGCAATTTTGTATAAATCCACACAAAGTAGGAGTTTCTCAAATATGTTCAGTAGTTTCATTCCTACCATATAAAGTGCCCATTTTACATAGGGCAAATTTACATTAAAAAGTAATTGAAGAGCCACTCACATACGAATATATTTCTCTCTCAAAAAGTTTTCAAGAGATGAAATGTCATTTGGAAGATTGAAATGGAAATGCTTAACCCTTGTGAACACATTTTATAATCTAACATTCTTTTTTTTTTAAGCTTTCAGACAATAATACATCATTCAAACATCTATTTCCACAGACATGCAGGAAATCTAATTACATTAGATCATAATTGAATGAGAATGTAGATACAGAGAGTGAGAACGTTTTTGTGGCCCTCCTTGTGCTCTAGAATACTTTTGAACCTAGGAGTCATTCCTTAAAAGGGCAAAAATTGAGAAAAAGTTCAGGTACATATGCATGCTGTAAATTTTTGATGCAGCAGATTCGATAAACTGTCCTCATTTTGGTAGTGTTTGCATTGCTATTTTCTATTTTGAGTTATTTGTTATCTGGATATTACTGAAGGGGAGGGGGTCATGGAAAATAAGGATATATGTGGGAAAATTAGGACATAGATAAATTATACACATGGGACATAAAGTCATCTACATGAAATGTTGAATGCGTGTTCCCCTTAATTATAGAAAATGGGTTGTTCCTAAGTGTATGTCTTCAGTTAGATTTTCCAAGAAGACCTAGGGGTTTATTTAGTAGGTGATCGATCCCAGGAAGGTAAAGGCATAAATAAAGGGAGGCTTAGCAAGGTGGTTACCACGCTGAGCCACTGAAACTCAACAACACTGGCAAATCTGGGAAACAGGAGAGGCTGTGCCTTGGAGTGATCCTTCATGAGTGACGAGGAAACTGGGTTTTGTATCCACCAGGTCCCCATCTTTCTTTCATTGAGGGCCATTTCTAGAATTAAATCTCTCTTATTTATAGTTCACTTCGTGTGTAGGCCCAGGATGATCCCTCAGCCAGGAAAAAAAAAGTCTTCTGCTGGTGGCAGGTGTTTTCGATGGAGCATGCTAAATGCTGAAGGGCGGGGCGGGACACCTACAGCGTGGCCTGCAGCCCACCCTCCTACTGCCTGGGTCTATCCATCTCCCACGTGAAGTTCAAGGAGATGCTACCAGAAAACATCCACGTGAGAGAAACTCAACTATCACAAATCATATAAGAGCAGAGTGCGACCCTATATTTTGATTTTGGTGTTGGTTGCCTATGTATTATATTTTGTGATTTAACTTATTGTTATGACTAAAATTCTTTTTATTCTTATTACCTGAGCATATATACTAAAGAAATATGTTCTATCTCGCTCAGTATGGGGCTGAGACGTTGGGATGGCTTATTTATAAATTATAGAATCTCTAGAACCAATTACTCTTTATCTGGAAACCGCTTACCCAGTCACTTTCCTTTCCTTTCCCAAAAGAGAAAATTAGTAAGACCTGTTAGGTTTCTTTGGACTATATATACTGTAATGTGAAAAGACAAACTCTCTGTTTTTAGGTTAATTATTTTTAAATTAATGTACTAGCTTTGTTTGATAGAACATCAGAAGTTGATAGTTGGAAAGTATAATAATTTTTGAGCTTCAGTATATGTGGAATGTATTACCCATAGGAAAATAAACCCCAGATAAAGTGTAATATTCAGTCTTTTCAATTATATAAAGGATTATCTCGATGCAGTGGAAAATAATGTCCTTAGCTCCTTGAATCACAGATTTTCGTAAGTCTTTCCAGACTGAAGGCTACGTATCATTTTTTGCAAAGTTTTAGATGGTGATGTTCATTATAAGATGTTAGATGGTAATTAATAACTAAATATGAAGGTTTCTACATATTCTAAAACTCTGAATACCTAAACATATATACCACTTTGTGTTGTGTGTGTGTGTGCTATTCTGTGCATTATGGCTTCTACAAATAAAAGTACAAATTTCTCATTTAAAGTCATTTGTATCATATACCCAAAGTGACCTACAGAGTCAACGCAATCCCTATCAAAATATCATCATTTTTCACAGATATAGAAAAAATAATTTAACTTGTATGGAACCAGGAAGACCCGTATAGCAACATCAATCCTAGGCAATAAAAACAAAATAGAAGGTATCAATTTACCAGCCTTCAAACTATACTACAAGGTTATAGTAATTAAAACAGCTTTTTTACTGGCACAAGAATAGGAACATTGACCAGTGAAACAGAACAGAGAACCCAGATATAAAACCATCCTCATATAGCCAACTAATCTTCGACAAAGCAGACAAAAACAACACGGGGAAAAGAATCCTTATTCAATAAATGTGCTGGAAAACCATAACCACATGTAGAAGACTGAAACAAGACCCACCATTTCACCTCTCACAAAAATCAACTCAACGTGGTAACAGACTTGAACCTTAGGTGTGAAACAATTAGAATTCTAGAGGAATGTTGGAAATACTATTCTAGACATTGGGCAGGCAAAGAATTTATGAAGAAAGACCCCAAAGGCAATCACAACAGCAACAAAAATAAACAAATGGAACTAATGAAATTAAAAAGCTTCTGCACAGCCAAAGAAACTGTCAAGAGAGCAAACAGACAACTCACAGAATGGAGAAATTTTTGCAAGCTACACATCTGATAAAGGGCTGATAACTAGAATCTATTTAGAACTCAGGAAAATCAGCAAGAAAAAAATCAAACAACCCTATAAAAAATGGGCAAAGGACATGAACAGAAACTTCTCAAAAGAAGACAGAATAATGGCCAACAAGCATATGAAAAAATGTTCAACATCTCTAATCATCAGGGAAATGCAAATCAAAACCACAATGAGATATCATTTAACTCCAGTGAGAATGGCCTTATCAAAAAGTCCCCAAACAACAAATGCTGGCTGGATGTGGAGAGAGAGAACACTCCTACACTGCTGGTGGGGACTGCAAACTAGTTCAACCTCTTGGAAAGCAATATGGAGAAACTCAAAGAATACAAGTAGATCTACCATTTGATCCAGCAATTCCACTACTGGGCATCTACCCAAAAGATCAAAAGTCACACTTTTGAAAAAGACACCTGCACTCAAATGTTTATAGCAGCACAATTCACAATTGCAAACTGTGGAAACAACCGAGTGCCCATAATTTAGAGTGGATTAAAAAATGTGGTATATTATACCATGGAGTACTACAGCTTTAAGAAACGCGGTGATATAGCACCTTTGTATTTCCTGGGTAAAGCTGGAACCATTCTACTAAGTGAAGTATCTCAAGAATGGAAAAACCAGCACACATGTACTCCAGCAAATTGGTATTAACGGATCACACCTAAGTGTACATATAGGAGTAACATTTTATCGGGTGTTGGGAGGTGGGAGGGGGGAGGGGGATGGTGTTATCAACCACAATGAGTAAGATGTGCAACGTTTGGGAGATGGACATGCTTGAAGCTCTTACTCAAGGGGGGATGAGGGCATGGGCAATATAAGTAACATTAACACTTGTACTCCCAAAATACGCTAAAATAAAAAAAAGGAACATAAAAGTGAGCTTTTTTGCTTGTGAGTTTTATGATGATTTGCTACCTCTTCTCTGATATTTCATTAATGATTAAAATATTATCTCATATTGTTGATGATAAAATCAGGGCTCATAGAGGTTTAGCATTTATATATGCATATTGATAGGAAGCAGCAATCCTGATGCTGAGTTGCAAAGTAGCTCATCTATGAAAGAACACTGAGTTGGTTGTATTAATAGAACAACGATAGTCTAATCATTGCAGAGTGGCACTTATTTTTCTCTGCTGATATGTGTTGGTTTTTACACAAAATTTTTAGAGATATATGAGATTTTGTTATTCCAAACATAATATTACATTGGTCTTGTGTGTGGTGCTTACACTATAAATGGTAGCAAGTCTTTGCGTGCCTGTAACAGAGCTTACTTACTCAAAGTTTCTCCCCCAATTTCATTACTCTGCTCTGATCTTCTTATTATACAATGCATCATTTCAAGTTGCTCTGTCTCCTAGGAATTGCACTTGTGTAATTTTCCCCATGTGGTTTTTCACCATAATTGTTTTCAAGCATTGGAATTGTCAGGCGTCGTTGCAGGTGTCAGGAGAAACACACAATGATAAATGTGTGAATTCTTCTCCCTGTCACCCTGTCAACAGCAGCAGGATTATTCCAGGTAAGAGTTATGGGCAGGTCAAATGCATTCATACAAATGGGAATATGTAGGTTAATCAAATAGATGCTATCAAGTAAATAGTTTTGACCATAAATAAGTAAAATAGGTTGCCTTTATAAAAATATTTAAGTACTGCCCTAGAGCATGTGAGATCTAATTTTTGTTGGTTAAGCTCATATTCACTGTAAAAAGTATTATATTGCCCTTGAATTTACAATTTATTAAATATATTTTTTTTCCTTGAGGATAAGTCTTAAAATTTTGGCAGAAACATTGGTATCAGAGCAATTTACATCAGGAAAAAAATAAAATAAACATTCTTAGGTTTTATTAGGGACTCTTTATTTAATTTGTGTTGGATAAAATCTACTTGAAAACCAGAAATTCTCAAAATGTTAATGTTAAGTAGCTTTCTTAAACAAAGGAATTAATCTTAAGGATTTATAGATAACTGAATCTTGTCAAAGAAAAGAATTCAAAGATCACTAAATCTTTTGCAAATTGTTTTCTTTAAACTCACAGACTCAGTCACATAATAGCAGAAAAATTACAGTACCTTCAAGATGTAGTGCCTAGATATATAAAGCATTATATGGATAAGGATTAAATAAATATTTATTCATGTTGCAATTTACCTACAAACTTGAAAAATCCCCTTTTTTATTGTGGTTACAAAATATATGTTTAACAGTTATAGAGTTAACTTTTATATATTCTAATGATTATATTATACACTCCAATGAGCATCCACATTCTATTACTCAGTTATAGGCAAATTAGAATTAATACTATTCTGATTCTTCCATTGTCAGGGTCCGAACTTTGGAAACTGGTGAAGTATGTTGTACCACCTATTTTCTGTATGACGAGGTGCCTGTAAAGTATTTAGTATAAGGCTTTGTATAGAGGAGGTTTGTTTATACCTTGGCACCTGAGATGTAGACATCAGAGTAGATGTGCTTGATAACATTATATGCCCAGATTATTCCATAATTTCTGAGTGTTCCTTACCTCTGTCTAATGGTGAGTAGCTCCACTGGCCTATGGACCATGTAAAAGATAGAGCCCTCCTCAATAGATGCCACCATTGTTCATTTCATCTAAAACAATAACCAAGTCCAGGTCTCAGCAAGTTCCAAAAGTTGGATGACTGTCATTGCTACAGGAGAAAAAAATAGTCACCAAAATAACTGCAAGTTCTAACTAATATGTGTGAGCAGTAACTGATACCCTGGGAATTAATCTGGAGTGTGCAGATTCAGGGTAGAGAAGAAATATAAGACTTGATAAGGGAATTTATGGAAATGGCACCACTGTCTCATGACATAGAACTTAACTTCCCAACAAGGCCATCTGGAGATTTGATTAGGGATTATATTATTAAGATAGTTCCTTAAAGCTTAGGAAGAACATAGTCTACAGTGAATGAGATGCAGGTTCTGGGAGTTCCATAGTAGAATACTAAGGAAGGAGTAGCAATGCACCGGGGTTAAGGCATGTTAGAATAGATATACTGTGTAGTATCAGAGAACTCTTAAGATAATTATTCTCCCTAGAGGCCCTGAAGATGCCCACTCCATGAAGCACTGAGGAATGTTTTAGTGTGGGGAGTATAGTCATTGCTGAGAATCCCAGAGAGAGGTATTCTCTGTAGGTCAGGGTTGATGATCTGAGATTTTCCGATGGAATTGGACTTCCAAGTGTCAATGAAACTGTTAGAATTCCAGATAAGCAGCAAATAACTGTAAAAAGCAGAATGGATATATTTATTGTACTAGGAAATAAGCCCAGACTATAAAGCAAGTGCTCCTGAAGCATAGGCTTGTTACACCCTTTTGGATTTGGGAGGTAGCATGCATGTAATGCTTTGGAACACTGCCTTGAGTTGGCTTTACCCAAAGAGCACTTCAGCAGGTGCATGCTATAGAAAATCAGCTCACCTGTTAGGATCATATGAACTGGCAGATTCCGTGGTGCCTAAGATATCTAGGATAAATAAGGCTGCTGTGCGGACTCCCTGGCAAGCCCCAGTAGATGGTCCACAGTGTGGACTTAGCATTCTGGGACTGTTCACCCTCAAAAACAACTACCAGCTTTGGTGGAAAGGGACTAGATAGCTTCAGGGTGTGGACTGGACACCAGAAAGACCAAGGCATGATTCGAGTGTTGGGAATTTCAGGTCCACCCTCAATGATTTAATCAACTATACCTGTGTGATTAAACTTTCATAAAAACCCAAAGGCCTGGGCTCCAATGACCTTCCAGATAGCTGAACACGTGGAGTTTCCCAGAGGATTGTGGCCTGGGGAGGAAGGGCAGGGAAGCCCTTCCCACAGACCTTGCCCTGTGCATCTCTTTCATCTGGTTATTCATCTGTATCCTTTGTAGTATCCTTTATGATAAATTGGTAAATAAAAGTAGAGTGTTTACCTAAGTTCTGGGAGCAACTCTAGCAAATTAGTCAAACCCAAGGAAGAAGGGGGAACTTTGATTTATAGCCAGTTGGCCAGAAGTTCTGGACTCTCGAATTTGTGATTGGTCCCTGAAGTGGGGGACAGTCTTGTGGAACTAAACTCTTAACCTGCAGGATCTGACTCTACCCCCTGGTAGACAGTGTCAGAATCAATTTGAATTATAGGACACCCAGCTAGTGTCTGCTGCAGAACTGATTGGTTGGTGTGTGGGGAAACAATGCCCACATTTCTGGTGTCAAGAGACAGTAGAAAAAAAGCACTATTAGGTTTTGTTTGTTTGTTTGTTTTTGTTTTTTAATATCGCTAACAGCCTACATTCTATTTCCTCTCTCTATAGGAGATGCCTGGGAGAGAAAGAGAGAGATCGCTTTGTCTAAAACCCTTGCAAAAATGCTAATGGAAGTAGGAGAGTCTTAATCTGTGGAATGCTTCTGCAGGTTGTATTTGGTCTACTATTAATGGGATATTAAAAGGAGATGATCCATATCAAAAGAGTTTCCTTTGTGTAAATGATGCCTTCATGCATTCATTAGATGTATCCATGTTAATTTTGCAATAAAGCACAGGCTAGCGGAAGAAAAAAGGGGACCTGCATTGTTGATCTCAGATATCTCTATTTTTTTCTGATTCTTACAATTGCCAGTATCCTCTGCGTTATCAGTAAAATTTGGTATTAATTAGATCTATGATTCCTCTGAGTCTGATTTGAGTTGATACTTTGTGTTGTCTGATAGTAAAGTTGTTAAAGCAGGCAAAGACAGGCCATAAACTAGAGTTTTGCTTTGTACAATAATGATTTGAAAACACACGGTAATACTTTGCACCTAAGTAGAATCAAATTCCTGTAGCACTGTGGTTCCCCCGCATGAACCACCTCGATTTTGTATTCTCTCTCACAGAATCCCTTTCTATGTTTTCTCTTTCTTCCATACTTAAATCTGCCTTACATAAAAGTAGTTTAGAGAGAAGAGAGGTGAGTCAACCAGTTCTTAAACACACTAGGAAGAGAGGTTTGCCTTTGTTCACATGACAAGGATGTGTGAAGGAGGTACCTGTTCTTTTCTACCCTGGGGCCATTTATATCTTAGCAACAAGCAATAAGGAAGAGAAGCACTTGCAGAATGTGCAACATGCTATGCAGCTCTTCAAACAGTTACACAAGGTTCAAGACATTTCAAAGCATTATTTATTCCTTAGGCATCATCAGGTATATTTTTGCAGAGAGATTGGGCCCAGCTAGCAGTTCTTCTAAGTCCTAGAGAAAGAGGCATGAGTTTCAGCTAAAGAATAGTCTTATTTCATTATTTCTTTCCTCTAAAAAGTTCAGTATTTAAATTCCCAGGGCAGCAACTGGGAATTTAAAATAATAGTTTGTTAAAGAAATAAGTACCAAACGTAAGTCCTTGGAAAACTATCAATATTATTTATGAGAATATATGCACATAAATTTGAAACTATTTTTTATCAGATAATTGTATGCACACCAACTCTTACACACACATGCACACACACAAGTTTAACAGAGAAAATGATGTCTTTTTGTTAAACATGAGTTTATAGTCCCTTAGACATAGGTTTTACTATTTTCTTTTGTGTGCTCTAAGACTCTTTCTCTCTTCCTAAGTGTGAAAGGGGGATAGACTTTGGCTTCAGACAGTTGTTTAAATGCTTTACCCATTGAACATGTTAATCAATATACACACAGATCCATACATCTCTATAGATAGTATTTTCCTAATGTTTACCTCTTCCCATCTTTGTATCTAGGGCACAATTTCACCTTCTATAACCATCTACTGAGCACATATAATCTACCAGGTACTGTGAAAAGCATTTGGAACAATAACATTTATTCCGAGAGTGTATTTTTTCACGTTGTATTTATGACTAATGCTAAATTTTAAGAAAACTGAGGTTTTCTCTATCTCTAGGTTGAGATTATTAATTGCTTCACAAATGTAACTAAATGAAAACATCATAGGGCTACATTTTTGCACATAGTATAAAGTATGTGTTCATCTAAATAAGTTCTAGGATTGACATATTTATTACTAAGTAAATAGTTCATTGTGTTGAAATGCCAAGAGATGATGATTCTAGTGATGAATTCCTTCAAGGTAAATTTTATTCTTGGTATTGTAGTTAAAAATAGAAAATTAAATTTAAGAAACAAAAATAAAATTGTTGGGTTATTATATAATGATAAATATCAACCCGTTTCAACTTGAGATTGAAAAGAGCCTTGTTTGGATACTGATTTTATAATTCTTATCATTTTCCCCTAAGCATTATTAAACATAGAAATGGGAGAGACATTTTAGAGTTGGTATAATGGAGGATGATTGGAAAAAAGTTATTTTAAGACGTATATTTTTAAACATTTAGTCTTCCATGAGAACAATGATGCAAAAATATTTTCCATATATTCTAATACAAGCAAATTTTAATCTCATAGTTGGATATTTTGAGCATTAACTATATTGAATTTACATCTTACTTCTTTATTGATTTCATGCCTATTTGGCAGATTTCAAATTTTGCCTCCATCTCTGTGGACCTGAAATTAATCTGGTTCCTTTATCTGGGCACTCAGTGCTATGGTTGAGTGGTTTAATCTCTATCCCTGGGAGCACAACCAAATTCATCTCCATTGAAATCTTGACTCCTCTGTGACTTGGCTTTGCATCTGGGTTTCCATCTGTCAGACATTTCACTGGCTTGTCTTTATTCTTTTCTGGGAGGCTGTTTGCAAAGACTTTTTTGAAACAGAGAGTGGATTCAGCCCATGCTCAGCCACTACAATCATAAGCCAAAGATTGCAGTGACGCCCATTGTTGGATGAACAAAAAACGATATATGAAAAATATTATAGCTTAATCTGTGAATTGATCTGTATTGACTATGAGACTTTTTTTTTCATTTTCCTCTACCATGTATATGAAGCCTGAGTTTCAAGCTTAATGTATTCCTTTAATCCCCATATATCTGAAACTCTCTCATTAAGGATCTAGTAAGAAATCTCTCCTTTCCCACTTTTCTCAACACTTTGACCTTCCTTCGAGTTTATCACAGTTGATGCAAGGACCTTCTACATCTCTCAAAAGAGTGATATGGTGATATATTTCTGCTACTATGAATTTTTATCCTTGTTAATTTTAAAATAATAATAACAAAGCAGGAATTTTAATATTGTTGATGCTGTTGTTTAGAACATGAAGCCCAAGATGGAGACACTGAATTTAGTGTGTTCACAGCAGTCCTCAAATGTTACATTTGATTGCATAGGCAGTTTACATGATGCCGAAATAATCTGCTAATTATGCAAAAGTAAATCCATTTGTTGTTTGTGCCAGAAAGTTTTTAAAGAAAAAAACGAGTCAGGTCAGAACATATTTTTTCTCCAGATAATAATGTTAGCAGGTTTTTTTTTTTACATTAATTAATTTATTCATTGCAAAAGCAAGCGTGTATATGGCTCTTATCTATGTAGTTATGGCTTTCTTTATATAAAGATTTTTTTATTTGTTAGTTTGAGGGTGTTGGAGATTATATATTTTTCTTAATTTATACATGTGTCAGAAAATATACAAGGGAAAATAACAATGGTAAAGAGACATAATCTCTTGTGTGTGAATGAAGAATAGGAGGCAGTCATACCTGCCACCGTCTGTCTGGGACAGTGCATCAATTCCCAAAGTTATAGCACCTTCTAGCTCTCTCTCACTCACTTTCCTTTGCATTCTCCCTTTCTTCTTCCCCACCCCCTTCTCCTCCTCTTCCTCTCTCTGGCTGTGGACCATGAATGTGTCCTTTTGTACTGTGTGTTCTTACTATGCTCTAGAATTCACAGAGAAGAGAATGTGGAAGTTATGGTAAGATGTGGGACCAACAAGAAGCATATTAAAAAATAAAAAAAAACCTCCTTATGTAATAATCAATATATCTTTTATCTGACTTATGTGGAGGAATTTTTCTCATTTTGTTATTTGTCTTTGAAATATGTGCCTGTGTGCACATGTGTGTATTTGTGCATGTATGTAGTTGACCCTCATTATTCATGGATTCTATATTTTCATATTTACTCACTAAGATTTATGTGTAACCCGAAAAATAAAATAAAATAAAATTGTAAAAAAAAAAAAAAAGATAATTTATTTAAAAAAGCAGTTAAAGAGGGCTTTTAGACTAGGCTAAAAATCAGCTTACGAGGTTTGCCACTTTGCTTAGCAGGCACTGGGCTTTGGTGTAGACTTACATATGAGGAAGGAATATCTTACTAGAGAAAACTCATACTTGGATCCCTCTGGGGTTACAGAGACTGGCAAAGGTAAAAGACCCTGTTGGGCAGTGAGTGCATATCAGGTCTGATCTGCGCTAAAGCTGGGCCAACTCTTCCCTCCAGGGTTCCAAAACCACTCAACAGATGCTTAAACCAAGCAAGTAGACAACTTTAGGGGACAAGCATTGCTGAAATGGACTTAAGACAGGAGACCATCTCCTGCTATAAGCAGAGGGACATGCCACGGCAAAGCGTCCCTGCCTTAGGTGACTAGTGTACATGATGGCAGCTCCAACTTTCTCCAACAGTGTGACCTTGGGAAAACCTCCTAGAACGTAGAGATTCCAATTCTTTATTCATTAAAAACGACACAAATTTATCTCTCCAAGAATTGAAGGAAACTAAAATATTTCTCTTCCAAATACTGAGGATTGATTGTTAAATTAAAGGTACGGAAAATGCAGGGGAACTCTCTGCCTCAGTCTCTGTTTGCCTGATGGAAAAACATAAATCCTTTGTAGCCGGTGACAGCACTGGCTTATCTGTCCATGGAAGATACCAGCAAGCACCAGAGGAATCCAGGAAGAGATTTTACTACCATCCCACATTTTCCAGATTTTTAAACGACTGGAACTGCCTTCTCCCCTTGGTCTTGTCATCTAGAATGGATGGCGCTTTGTATTTGAACTATTACTATTAACTATTACTATTAACTATTTGCTATTTAAGCTAGATCCTTAAGCCACCAACTGGGGAAAGAAATACTTGTGAACTGAAGCCTTTTCTGTGTGATGGGTACAACATACATTAATAAACTTCTGTTTGTTCTTCTTCTGTTCATCTGACTTTTGTTTTCGGGACAGTGTCTCAACTAAGAACCTAAAATGGGAAAGAAAAGAAATGATCTTGTCTCTCTTGCAGAATCTTCTTGCTATAGCGTTGTGAAATGGCATGATTCCAAATCATCTCCTTGGTTTCTGAGTTTGAGCACAGAGTCCCAAACTATGTCAGCCTGCTTTGTGCCATAAAATGGACAGTTTTGCAACTGATGGTACATTTAAAGATACTCTGATTGCTTGGGCTCTTATCTGATGGCATGAGGCACACCTGAGGTTTTGCTCTCCTCCCTGGGCATCTGAGCAGTTGCTTCCTGCAAACAGCCAGTTTTCTGCCTTTATGTACACACTAGAAAGGAACACAGTTGACAGTTTAAAAAAATCTCCCCAAATAAATGATAAGGTCTTTTTGTGAAATCCACATTCCTGTGGATTTTTAGCTCTGAGCTACCACATTCATACAACAAAACTTTAGTATTTCACACAGTATTAATCCATTGCTTTTTGTAACTCAGAAATCTTCTTTGAGAGATCAGCTCAGTAGTTCTGGCTTTTAACTTTTACATTAAAAATTACATGGGATGCTTTCAGACAGCCCTTTCCTATCCTCTGCTATGTGATGCTTTTTCTGGGGTTTTTTCCTTGCAAAATCAGATCCCCTTCTTTTAGTTAGCTACAAAGTGTTAGAATATTGAATGGTTATGTTTGCCAATACCACACTGTACTCTAGAAATAAAGAGGTGCTAAGAGTCACAGAAGACATGTTATCAAGTTTCTAGCAACTTTAAAAACATAAAAAATATTGGCACATGAAAGATTCTGATTCATTTAAAAAGTGACTCAGAGGAAGTTTTTGAAGTTAGGGATAAATTGGCCATTTGAAATGAGTAAGCTATGGAATATAGATCTGCTTTGAGCCGCAGGAATGATCGCAGAACAATGCCCAGTTCTGATGAATCAGTAGAAACCATGCAACAGAAAAGCATGGCATGTACTCTCCCTAAAGTTTGCTTGCTGGCACTATTCCTCCCTCTGCACAGCAAAAGTACATTCATTAACCAACTGAATATGAAACAGTGCATTCCACAGTTAAATGATGCTGCTTTCTGCATACTAAATTAGCTCTATCCCGAATTCCATAGCTTGAGAAAATAGTACCTGGAAATACAGAGTATTTTGTGGATTGGAAATGTATCAGAAGGGAAATGAAAGTGAAACTTGCAAAATAAAAGTCACTTTTTTTTTAGTTAGAATGTATAACATCTCTGACTTTAGCTTGATTTCCTGTTGAGCTTGGGTTATACTAATTCATTGGTATGCCACATAATCAGAGACTATATCAAATGACCATTATATGGGGTACGCTACACTTAGTAGTGAAAGAGCTAAAGATAATGTCATGGATTGAAAGCCTTTGCAATGTAATTGGAAATATAGAATACAGAAACAAGTACAACAGGAGAAAATATATTCAAATGTGGCTGCCCAGTGAGTGCCTATGTAAAGGAGATGAAAGAATGGGGAGAAGATAATTAAAGAAATCTGATATTGAAGTAAAAAATAAAGCCAATTGGCATAGAAAGGGAATTAAATTCAACTTAATTTATACTTATCAGGTACACAGTACATAGTAGACATTGACAGAGTCCATGGATGCCTAAATGAGCTCTACTTTAACCCTAGAATAAAATATATAAAGGAAAGAGGAGGAACTTGTCATATTTAGGATTCTGTAAGCAATTTTGCTTGGATGATGAATCAGCGTTGGGTGGAAAGAAGAAAGAAGACAGATGATATAGGAAGCTCAAACTAGAAGATATACTTGACATTTTAAACACCCCTGCGATCATAGATGAAAAGACAAAATTGATTGGCCTGGAAATACATTGGAAAGTTGTGCCACCAGGGTGACACTAAATTGGCAGTGTCAAGGGTGGATTCTGTACTCAAGGCCCCATCAATATTTAGTGATCACTCATTCTGTCACATTGACCATATGGCAATTCAAATCAGGCTTTAAGGAAGCCAGGGTGACACATGTTCCTAATGATATTTTGTATTCCAGTACACTGTGCCTAATGCCCTTCTCTTCATAAAACAGAGTGGCCAGCCCTGATTTTATGGAGAAGAAACTGATGTCAAGAGCCCAAAATTATAAGCAAAATATTTCTTCTCCATGCCATCACCACAAAAGCTCTTGGATTCTTGGTGTATTATACAATGAGGTCATATGATTCAGTAGTGGAGAGGTAGATAGTATATGTATACTTTACAACCCAGTAAGAGAACGCTTTTCACAGGTGGTGGCTGAGCACTGTGGGGGTGTCAATTGTCTTAAAGTTAAGCGAACTCCTTCCCTGGGTATAGAAGGAATCCACTTCAATCCTGTACCTCAGTCATTGTCCTCCAGCAATGCAAGATGACTGGAATCAGGACACATGCCACTTGCAAATTAGATGCAGGCACATCACAAAGCCATGGTCAAGCTCCCAGAAGAACAAACTCCCAGTGCTGGGAAGCAGGCTTGAAAGACACAAAGCAAATTAATATCCCAGAGGAACAACACTGTAGCCCTGACATCTGGGCTGTGCTGATATGCTTAGGGAACAACATTTAGACATCCTGAAATATTTTAACACAGGCCCATACTTAAAAAATAAAAAAATAAGAATAAGGCAAATGTCTTTATGCCAAAGCATCATTATCCTAAAACAATAGGTTAATTTATCTGGTGAATAGAGTCTAAATGGCATTTAGCGTGCAGTGGATCAAGAATATTGATAAAGTAGAGTTCTCAAATCAAAGTTTTTGTTTGCAACTGTCAACATTTTATTTAACTCATTGATGAAAGAACCAGAGGGTAGATTAAAGGCTGTATTTAAAAGCATTTGAAAAATGGAGATTTATGTAGTCAGTTGTTAAAGGGATGCTTGAATAAGATTGCTAAATTAATTAGAAGATTGGTCAACTTTTTATGGGTCATGAAATAACAGTATTTTATCACTTTTTGCAGATTAAATTCTAACCATGGAGGATGTATCGGCTGAGGATTGTTGGCCAAATTAACTGTCACGACAGATTTCAGATGGGACTTGAGCAGACTTATCAGAACATGCATGAATTTGATAAAATACACATTTTGTTATCATCATTTTGTCTTTTTTAAAAAGTCTGGATACAGTTTTATTTCACAAGCAAATCCCCTTATTGTATTTATTTTCTTCTTTCCATTATATATGTTCTTAAAAATGCAGACACAGCCTCAGGCTCAGTGTAATGAACACACTAGTAGACTCTAATAATGATGACAACCTTTAAAGAAATCTAGTCACCCCTTCATTTTATTCATGTGAAAACATATGGCAAGAGAGGCTTAGCATCTTGCCCAGACCATATGCCCTTTCAGGGGCAGGAATGCAACTGGACCCCAGAGTTTCTGACTTCCTTTCAGGACTCTTCCAAATACACCATGCTGCTTATCTGTATAAAAAATTATAAAATGTTTTGTGTATTTCATGAGCATTTTGTATAGGGTTAAGGTAGGGAATGAAGCTTTACAATGGAGTTCATGCTATGTGGTTCTCATGTTTGCTTTCTTTGGTTGCATCTTCTTAGGTTGCATCTGAACTAAGTTTTAAAAGCTGAAATGTAAGGGCTAAGCAGGTAAAGCTATTATTCTAATTTCTGCCATGGAGGGCCAGTAATTTAATCATAGACAATGGTACCCTAGGATAATTTATATTCACCATCCTAATAATTCTATATTCCAAGCACATGACAGCTAAAAACAAAGGACAAAACACTGCAAATCATAAAACTCCTAGTACCATTCAAGACAGGTAATTCTGGACAGGAAAGTTGAGAACCAGTGGTTATAACAGTGAGTTATCTGTTAGCATTCCCAACATATAAACCGTAGCCTTTAAGGAAAAAAAAAAACAAACATCCTCATTTTCCAAAGTGAAATTTCTAATCTAAAGTGTTTCTAGTCCTACATTTTAACATCTATATGCTCAGTAAAACATTATTAAATTGATTATTGTCTCCAAGCTGTATCATGTGCCAGGGATTCAAAGCCTTATATTAAATCAGTTCTAAACTAAAGAGATTTTTCTCATGCAGAATAAAGGTTCATACATATTGAAGAAGTAGTGATAGGGGCTGAGACAATAAATCTCAAAGTATCTTTTAAACTTAAAAACAAAATTTGACATTAGAGAATTTCCATACTCTCTTCATGTTTTGTTTTGTTTGGGGGAGGGTAAAAGAATATAATAGAGTGAACTCATTTTTACTTTATCTGTTGAATGAGCCATGTGAATATAAATGCTTACTAAACTGTTTTCTTCAATAGTAATATAATTGACAGAAAATAAATGATTCTAGAATCCTGAAACTGGAGAAAATAATTGGGAGGAGTGAAGAAGTAACTATAAATAAAAACCTAAATCTTACTTCCCTCCTCTAAATTGTTAGTAATCATTTATGCATAAAAATTCAATTTCCCTTCTCCATTTCCTTTTTATCAGCTAATAAAAAATATGTGAAGTGAATGGATGTAATTAACTTTCCTATAGAAGATACAATGTGGAAGTCTAATTATTTGGGTTTAGGTTATTTATAACATTTTAAATCACCAACATGAGTAGTAAGTGAGCATAAATACAAAGGTCTATACTACTACTAATATATGTTTAAAATTATCTATAGATATCATCATCATTATAATCATAATTATCACCGTAAAATAAAATATATTTTAAAAATAGCTCCCTGTAACTTTGGCAGTTTTTCACTTCTTTTTTGTAGAGTTAACTAAATGGGTTAGCAATGTTTTTTTCTTTTTCTTTCTTTCTTTCTTTCTTTCTTTCTTTCTTTCTTTCTTTCTTTCTTTCTTTCTTTCTTTCTTTCTTTCTTTCTTTCTTCTTTTTCATTTTTTAGAGTTTCTGCTATTCACAGGGAGACCCATGCAGGATATTGTTCGTGGGTAAAGCAGTCAGGAACTACTTGAAGTAATGGAATGTAATTATGCCTTTGTGGTCTTATGACACTAGTGAGAAATACAACATCCAGCAGTCATCAGTTGTAACAACTGCTCCCATCCTAGTGCTTTTATTTAAAACAACACTTTGTGTATGGCCTTGAGTCCAAACCATGGTTGTCTTCATTTTAGAATGAATAACCTGTGGAATCTAAAACAATAAAACTCATAAAAGCAGAGAGCAGAATGGTGGTTACCAGATGCAGAGGTAGTGGGAGTGGGGAGATGATCAAAGTTATACTGTTTTAGTTAAATGGGATGAATTGATGATACATATTAGAGGTGATGGGAATGTCAACTTGATACAATCATTCCACGTTGTATGTATTTACCATAACACCACTTTGTATCCTGTAAATATGTATAGTTGTAATTTGTCAGTATCTAATTCAAAAAAAATTTAAAAAAATAAATAAAAACATTTTTTAAAATGAGAAACCACAAAGCTATACTTGGAAAACAGGACAGGAATTGATTTCCTCTTTTGTAGCATTAATCAAAATAAAGCTTCATCTCATTTTCTGTAAATAGTCTAACAAAATCCAAAGAATGCAAATCTCCTGGGACTATGTTCCTTCTTGTTGAGATTCTGAAATCCCTTGATAATGCTGTCATTTACCTAGTAATTCCACAAATATTTACTGAGTATAAACTATCTGCCAACACTGTGAATGAGAAACAGAGAAGTCCAGCTCTCCCTGAGTTGACACCCTAGTTGTACAGATAGACAGTAAATAAGGACGTATAACTTAAGGCACTGAAGAGTGCTAAGAAGAAAAATAAAGCAGGTAAATTAATAAGAAGCTACTAGCCATGATGGAGGAAATACATTATATGGTTTCCTTATGAAAGATCACTCTGAGGAAATAATATTTAAACAGAGGCTCAAGTGAAGTAAAAGAATCAACTAAATGATGAGCTGGGGAAAGAGAGTTCAGGCAGTGAAAACAACTGACACGAAGGTCTGAAGGAGAGGAACATGTCAGAGAAACCAGCATAAGCCCGTGGGGCTGGGCAGGAACAGTGCATATAGCATAAGTTATCTGATATTTAGGAAGGAACAATTTTACGTAGACTTTTGTAAGCTATGCAATCAGTTTGGAATTTTTTTTTCCCCCAAATGTGCTGGCAAGGCATTGGAGAGTTTTGAAAAAGCAAGTGATGGGGTCTGATTTGCATATTTGAAAGATCACTCTGCTGTTGTGTGCAACATTGGGAATAGTCAGGAAGAGCAGAAGAGTGATACGCACGAGAATTTTAGTAGGTGGGAGTGATGGCAGATTCATCCAGAATTCTGGCAATGAAGGTAAGGTGATGCAGTTGAACGTTGGAGACGTTTTAAAGGTAGACCTCTCAGGATTTGCTGACAAATTTAATACCAGGTGGTAAGTGGTAAAATTGAAGCAAAAATAACATCTATATATATTTTTTTAGCTTCAGTAACTGGGTAGCTTATGTTGCCATTTAGTGAGATGGGATGACTCTGAGAATCCGGATGAAGGGGATAAAGAGTTCTGATTGTGCTGAGTTAGGTGTGGAAAACTTACTGGACATAAAAGTAAAGATTCTGTGTTGGCTGTATTCTGAACTGCCTGGTTAAATTTGGTACAATGACAGAAATGAGCAATACAGTAACCATTAGCCACCTGGGGGCATTAAACACTTCCAATGTGGCTCATGTGGGGCTCAGGACCGTCACCTTAATTTTTAATTTTAATTGCTCAATTGTAACTAATTTAAATCTAACTAGACACATAGGGTTAGTGGCTACCACATTGGACAATTACATGTTAGAGGAATGGAAGAGGAGAAAGAACCAACAAGGAAGAGTTTGGTGACTTAGGAAAGTAGTAGGAAAATAGGTGTAGGTGACACATGTGGAGACATTTTTCCAAAGGAAAAGAGAAATGTGCAGGAAAATAGAGAAATACGGAGACTAAATGTGAAAACAAAATTATTGGTAGACATCACACTATTTATTGGTTAATGGAAATGATCCACCAGTGAAGACTAAATAAATAAATAAACTGATCATGCATATGGTAGAAAAACTAGTTCTCTTCATATCATTGCAATTTACTCATTTAAGTGATATCTCTGAAGGATGAAGAATGGAGTTTTAATCTCCAATAATTTTTTTGTATTTCCAACTCCATCTCAATTTCTATTTCCAAAAGAACCAAACACATCACAGTTAGTACCAGGAGTGGTCCAAGGAAGCAAGTGGTAAGATGGGATTTGGGGACAGGATCACTTACTGTGTGGCCGGTAGGGACAACTCCATGGTACCATTGTGAGGTGGTGCCTTCCCTCCTACGCACCCACCACGGCTCTGAAACTGATATTTTCAATGTCATCATGTCCTTCATGATTACATTATCCACCCCCCTCCAGTGGTTTCACTTTCCACAGTTTCAGTTCAGTTGACCATTGTCTGAAAATATCAAATAGGAAAATTCCAAAAATAAACAAGTCGTAAGTCTTAAATTACATGCTGTTCTGAGCAGCATAACAAAATCTCTCACCCTGCCCAGGACGTGAATTATCCCTTTGTCCAGCCTGTCCCCTCTGTAAATTCTACCTGCCCCTTAATCCCATAAACCAATCTTGGTTCTCAGATAAAAAGAACGTAGTACATGTATAGTTAGTGCTGTCTGCACTTTCAGGTATCCACTGTGGGTCTTGGAACATATTCCCCATAAATAAGGTAGGATTATCGTAAATTACTTTGTCTTCATATTATGTGACCTCAACGTAATGTTACAGATGACCACTCTGTCCTTGAAATATATTATATAATTGCTTTTTCTTTTTTTAATCTTAGTATCACCTTCTTTTCCTGCTCTTTCTGATTCTCCTTGTCCTCTTCTTCATCCAACTGCTACTTGATATTGCTTTTCAAGGATTGAGCCAAGGCCTTTGTTTTAGTGAGTTCCCTAACTTCCATGATTGTGTCTTGCTGTTTCTTTACTCGGCAGCAAGACTGGTGTTCTGAAAAATATGAGTAAGACCATGGCATTTCCCAAATTAAAGCCATTCAAATGCTTTTCCAATCT